CCTGGAGGTCCAGTGGTTAGGGCTCCAGGCTGTCACTGCCGAGGGCCCGAGTTCGATCCCTGCTCGGGACCCCGCAAGCCGAGCGGCGCAGCCAAAAAATAAATGAAATGAAATAAAATAGGACCCCCAAGTTCCTCCTAATCAAATCTAAGAGAGGGGATGGTGTCTTCGATCGGTGGGTATCGGCATGAGGGCTCCCATCCTGGCTACGTCACCGCGGGCAAATCATCTCCCCTCCCAGAAAGATGATCAACCACCACGTTTTCCTCGGGACCATCCTGGTTTGAGTCCAGGCACCAGGTGGTTGGTCCCAGTACCTCAGGGCTCAGAGGTTTTTATCTGCTGAATCACACAGACCTTGCGGGCATGCAGGTGAGGATGAGGGGAAATGGCAAGCTTCTCAGATGCTCTCAGGGTGTCGGAGCACCAGGCAGGAGTCAGGAACCAGGGCTTCCTGTGAGCCGGAAGGTAAGGGTGAGTGGCGAGTGGTGCACACACAAGAGGTACGGGGGTCCTTTCCCTTGTCTCACCGACGGCGACCAGGCCAGCCCTGACCTCCCCAGGGACAGAGATGAAGGGGGGAGGAGAGAACCAGCCCTGGGGGAATGGGTGAGTGGAGAGTCTGAGTGAAGGAAGATGAGGGTCCTCTGTGCCCCCACCCACCCAGCAAAGGGAAAGAAAGCTGACAGAGAATAAGAGATCTGAAGGAGATGGCTTCCAAGACAACTCCTCCCCGCAGCTGTGTGGCCTAGGGCAGCTTCCTGCACCCCTCTGGGCTCGAGTCCTCATCTGTGAAATGGGAATTTTCACTGCACTTGCTTCACGGACATGGCTGCATAGGTTCATTTCTGTAAACCTCTCAGCACAGCGCCTGGCATCAACCTGACCGTGGAACTCAAACCCGGTTATAGCCTCTGGGGCTCCGGGAGCTGAGAGAGGGCTAGACTGGTGGCAGAGGGAAGCTGGGTGCTCTGAGCACCTACTCTGGGCAGGTGAGGACACAGGCATGGAGCCAGGAGGGCACTGGGGTGGGGGTAGAGGGGAAGCAGCGGGATTAGAGAGGAGCTGGACGCTGTTCTGGGGGGGAAGAGGGTGAGATCCAGCACCTGCTGGGCAGGGGAAGCTAAGGCTGCGGTCTGTCCCTGCTCAGATGCAGGAACACAGGCACCCACAGAAACCTAGACAGACAATGGACACACAGACACCCCCAAAGACGGACTGACACACAGATGGACACACACACACCTAGAGACACACCCAGACAAATACACAGAGACACACAGAGACAGACATACACATACACTCCCAGATACACAAGAAAACACAGAGAAACACACAGAGATTTAGACGGACATAGAGACACACAGACACACCCAGACAGGCACACCCAGCAAGCGCTCTTTCTAAGCCTTTTCTCAGGCAAACTCCACTTCTTGCCTTGCCTCCCTTCATCCTCTCTGCCTTTAATGAACATTTATGAAGCACCACTGTATGCCGGGCCGTGTTCTAGGTGGCACAGGGTGGGTTTAAGAACCAAGAGGGCCACATGGACATGCAGGAAAAGTATTTCAGCAGAGGGAACAGCCAGTGCAAAGGCCTCTCCTGTCCCCCATCCTCCCCCATCCCATCCCGTCCCCCAGCCCTGACTCAAGCCATTTGGAATGAGAGGAAATACGGAGAGAGTGGTCCCCGTAGGATCCCCCTACCCCAGTTGGCCTGGTTATCTTCCATTCCATAGAAGAGGATGCCACGGGGCTCAGAGAGGCTGTGTCATATACCCGAGGTCACACAGCACAAATGTGGGCTCAGAGCTGCCTGAATTGAGGGCCTCTGTCCGGCCACGGGCCTGAGACAGCAGACACCTGCCCAGTGTGAGGGGCTGGCGTGAGAGTCACTAAGGTGGACACTCCAGGGCACGGAGAGGCAGTGACAGATAGAGAGACATCTGGGACTTCGGTCCCTACCCCACCAGAACAGGGGAGCAGCAGCCCCTGAGGCCACTAGAGGGGGCAAAGGGTCCCAAGGAGTGGGTGATGGGGACACATAGCAGGGATTGTGGGTCTGACCTGGATGGGTCCTCAGGATGCTGATTTGGAAACTGCGTCAAGATAGGAGGGGGTCTGACAGTGCAAGCAGGTCTCTGGATGGGAGGTTGGGGCTCTGTCTGAGTCTCCTATTGCTGCAGTAACAAATCATCACAACATGGTGGCTTAAAACAGTACACATTTTACCTGATAGTTCTGGAGGTCAGAACAAAAATGGGTCTCACTGGGCTAAAATCAAGGTGTCAGCAGGGCTGGATTCCTTCTGGAAGCTCTTGGTGAGAATCTGTTTCCTGGACTTTTCCGGTTTCTAGAGGCTGCCTGCATCCATTGGCTCGTGGTCCCATCAGCCATGTTCAAAATCAACAGTATAGCGTCTTCCAATCTGTCTTTCTCTGACTCTCCTCCCTCTCTCTTATAAAGACCCTTGTGATGACATTGGATCATTCCCCCCCCCCCCATCTCCAGATCCTTTAACTTAATCACGCATGCAAAGTGCCTTTTGCCTTGTAAGGTCACATATTCACAGGTTCCAGGGGTTAGGATGTGTGGGCATCATTATTCCACCTAGCACAGGGCCCATCGTCCAAGGTCCAGGGTCCAGCCTCCAGTCCTGGCCATGATGGCCCCGGGGTCTGGAAAAGGCCAACGTGCTTGGGACCAGCCATCTGACTAGGGGGTGCAGAAGGGACAAAGAAGCCCTCAGCTTATTACCTGGATCAGGGCTTATCAGCCTCCCCAGTCCTACTTTCCTGTCCCACACTCAAGCACAGAGGGTATGAAGGTGTGGAGGGGAGGAGGATGCAAGGGGCTCCCCCCGCCTCCCTAGGGTCCCCCTTCCCACCACCCAGACACCCTACATTGGACTCACCAGCTTAGAAATGGCTCCATCTCCCCACTCCCCACAACCAGGCCCTGGCTCCTCTGATTCCCGCAAACCCTGGCGATTTTACCACTTAATCCCTCCAGAGTTCCTCCCTTCACTCCTGTCTGCAACTCCCAGACCACAACCCAGCCACTCCTGCTGCCGTCTCATTTTAAATCTGATTGTGCCTCTCCCCAGAGAACCCTGGAGGGCCTTTAGTGACTGGTCCTGCCCTACTGTCCTCTCATGACTCACCGTTGGACCCTAACTCAGCTAAATCCCCCACCCACTCATCTCTCAGGTTACAGATGTCATCTCCTCCTGGAAGCCTGCCCTGAACACTCCATGCACACAGATGGAGTGGGCTGGGGGGTGGGGCCAGAAGGGCATGGAGTAGCCCAGAAGCAGCCCATCTGCAGAAGGTTCGGCCTGCATCTCTTCCTGCCAGGCTGAGCCCTTCCTCCAGCCTCCCCACCTTTGCCCATGCAGTACCTCCCACCTGAAATCTCTCCCTGACCCCGGCCCACCCAAATCCCCTATTGAGGGCCTCCCCTCCACATCTCCAGGAATCTCCTGCTTCTCCTCTGGGGTCTGGACCACCCCATTCCACCATGTCTCTGGTGTCACTATTAATCCAAATGGCTGCCACGTTCTGAGCACCCCCAGGTGCAAGGCGCCGTATACCACAGTCCTAGTCACAACGCTGAGAAAAGAGGCTTTATCATCTGCCTTTTCCCTATGTGCAAAGGAGCTCTTGGAGGGCCAGGAAGAAAATAAAAGGGTGAATGTGGACAGAGGGGTTCTGAGGGCCAGGCTAACAGCTGAGCGAGAAGGACGCACACATTTGAAAAGAGAAGGAATAGCCCAGCAGAGGGAACAGCAAGTGCAAACACTGGGAAACTGGATCAAGACGGACAGCTTCAGCCACACTTGCAGCAGAGGTCTCTGCTGCCCTCCCCCTTTCTATGTGTGGGAATCAAATCTCAGAGATGTGAAGCAACTTGCCTAGCCAGAAAAAGCCCGGGCTTCCCCCACCTTGCCCTGGGTCTGCTTCAGGGAGAGACATTGTCCAAAGGTGAAGCCACTTGCCCAGACGACGTGGGGTTGGCCAGCGGCTCTGGAACCCCCTTCCCTTCAACTGGCGACAGCTGGACCACGAGTCCCTTAGGTGCTGCTCAGATGCTCACAGACCACCTCTGCCTGATGCGGGATTGTCCTGCGTTCATGGCTCACCCAGACTCCCCGCCCCTGTGCGCTGGAATCACCTTCTGTTCCCCCCGACCAGAGGGAGCCTGGGGCTTCGCCACCCCCCACTCCAGCCTATCTCCCAGCCTTATCGTCCCAGCTCTGCAGCCTGACCCCTGCCCCCCCACCGAACCGCACCCTTTGCCCAGCTGCCCTCCACGCCACCCAACTCCCAGGGTGGTTCCTTGGGTTCCCAACTCTGAGGTTGGACCCATGAACCACGAATTGGACCAGCTTGACCTGAAAGCTGGGACAGGTCCCCAGACTTGGGGCACCGGGGGTGGCCTCTGAGGCCTGGGGCGGAGTCCGGGCCTCCGCCACAACGACCAGCGGTGCGCTCGGGCGGATCAGGGCGTCCGTGGTGTGTTGGCAGATGCGCGGTTGGATCAGAGCCGCGCCAGAAGAGGGGACCCGGGAGGGGGCTGGGGAGGACCTGCAGCGAACGGAAGAGAAACCGGGGCTGACTGAGCGCTCAGCGGATGGTGGTAGGTTCAAAGGCAAGAGATAAAGCACAGGAAAGAAACCTGCGGCTGGATTCCTCCAGAGAGCTCAGCGGATGGTGCCAGGTTCAAAGGCAAGAGATAAAGCACAGGCAAGAAACCTGCGGCTGGATTCCCCCAAGGCGCGCCTCGGTTGCGGGGGTGGGGGCGGGCGGGGCTGGAGGCGGGGCCCTGTAGCGCAGGCAGGGGGTCCAGGAAGCGGCCTAGTCGCACGGAAGGGGCCGAGCTCCGTTAGGACCCCGCGCCCCGCTGGGCTCAACCGGTCCCCGCCCCGGCCCCGCCCTCCAGGCCCCGCCCCCGATCCCGCCCCGCGCTCCCCTAAAGCCTGCTTCCCCGCCCCCGGCCGAGGCGGTGCCCGGAGCAGAGTCCGGCTGCGTCGTGCGGGCGATACGCGTCTCCTTCTCCTCTGCATCTGCGCCAGGCGCGCTCTCTCCCGCCCCGCCGCCGGCCCCTGGTGCTCCCGGCAGCCTGAGCCCCCAGGTAAGCGAACCCCCTGCGCCCCGAACGCGGACCGGAACGCCACTCTCGCGGAGAGCTCCGGCCCCGCCTCCAAGGCCATGGCGCCCGCGGCGGCCCCCAGACGCATGCAGTCCCCCATCAACTCGCCCGGGACGCCTCTCGGGGCTTCCCATCTGGTCCCAGGCCCGGGCCGCCTCCCCGATAGAGCCCAGCTCCCCCGAGGGCCCGGGCGCCGCGAGCGCCCGAGGACGGGGCTGCGTAACGGGCGGGCCGGAGTGGGGACGAGCCTAGCACGGTGACGCGGGGGAATCCGGATGTGTGAACGCGAGGACCGCGACGGCGGGTGTCGGTCCGTCACCAGAGAATCCATACCTAAGGGGTGCCACCGACGTGCCAGGTCTGGGGATGCAGCCGGGGCCGTGGCCTCGGAGCCCGCAGCGCGGCCGCGTAGACGGCTGGGACCCGCGGAAACAGACACAGATCATTCCAGCCATGCTAAGTGCGGGGAAGACAACACATCTGGGAGATGGGTTAGGGTCAGGGAGGCATTCTCGGAGAAGGTGTCATCCGGGCCTGAGGGGACCAGCCAGCGAGGGGTTTTTAGGCCCAGAAAACAGCAAAAGATTCTGAGGCAGGGCCCAGACTGGTGTGCTTGCTGAGCGGAAAAGAGGCCAGCGTGGCTGAAGTGCAGTTTGCTGGGGATCCGAGGTGAGAGGAGGTTGGCCCCCGGGGCCACGAAGATAAGAGGCGGATGTGGATTCCGTTCTCAAGTCTGTGGTGACCACGTAGGCTTAGAACAAAGTGAGTGACCGGATCCACTTGTGTCTTAAGAAGACCCAGCAGCTGCTGTGGCCAAAAGAGACCGGAGGAAACCCTGGAGGAGGCTGCTGGTTTGGACCCGACAGGAAGGGGGGGATGGAAAGTGGGTGAATTTGGGTTCTTTTTGTCAGAAGAACACTGCCTGTATTCCCTGCCTGCTCAGAAGTGGGGCAGGAAGGAAAGTGCATGGAAGAGATTTCTGGCACTGGCAGCTGGGAGTGTGGAAGGATAGGAAAACTGAGGGAGAAACACATCTGAGGGTGTGAAGCTGTTGTGACTGGGTCCGATTTCCAAAACCTGTGAGATACCACCTGAGGGGGAAGGTGCCTGAGGACCTGACTCTGAACCCAGGCCAAGTCCAACGTGACTGAGTGCAAGGGGGCAACCTGGATCTGTTGTATGGGGCCACCTGAAATAGAAATTCTGGAGGGTAGGGTTGTCTTTGAAGCCCCCCGACCCCACCCCAAGTCCCTAGCCTCAATTCAGCCCCCTTCCAGAAGGAGCTGCTGTGAATAAACTTGACAGTGGTGGGAGTGCCCAGAGCCTCACTCAGCGCAGCTGGGTCCCTGTAGGCCCAGCCAGGCTGCAGGGAGGAGGCAGTTGGGACCTTCCTTGCCTGCCCTCCCAGCTCACCTACTCCCAGCTGGGAGCCTTGGTCATTGAATTGGCCTTGGGGCCCCAGAGAAAGTTTTCTGGACTTCAGTTTTCCCATCTATAAAATGGGTCAATAGTACCTGTATCTGGGAGTGTTGTTCTGATCAATGGAAGTCTCGGCTTTGAAATAGGAAAGGACTTGGCCAATCCCAGGGCCGGCCTTACGCCTCGGGGGATGGAGGAGGGCTGCAGCACTGGTGGGAGTTCTGGGCCCGGTGAGCCTCCATTTCCTGCTCTGAGAAATGGGAGGAAGGCATAAGGGCGTCCACCTCCAGAACCCACAGTCTGCAGACTGAGTGAGTTAGGCGTGTAAAGTGTTCAGTTGGCCGAGCGCCTGGTGTGACGTGGTCACTGGGCACAGGAGCCGCTGGGATGAGTGTAGCTGGCCGTGGGGAGCTGGCTAGGGCTCACTCCTCCCACCACCCCTGGGATGCCCACAGCAAAGCAGGCACCAGGCGGCACGCTCCTCTCTTATCTGGGTACCACAGGGTTTCCCCTTTCCGGCTGTCTGGAAGCTGCCTCTGACCTTGTCCTGCCGGTTTGAATGTAGTGCTCTCAGGCTAGTGACTTCACCTCCTGGTTCAATTTCTTTACCTATAACATGGGAATAATAGCAGTCATCACCTGAGAGGTGTCCGGCTGGTAATAAGCACCTGTGAAAGCAGAGGGGATGCCCGGGTGGAAGCAAGGGGAGCCCCGAGAAGTGACCTGATTCAGCCTCTGGAAGGGTGGGGGAAGCCTTCTTGTAGGAGGTGACCATCTGCCAGGTTACTAAGGATTTTTAAGAGTTCATGGGCAGAGAGACCAGCGAACAAAGATGTGGAGGGGAAGCACCACAGCATGCATGGGAGGAGCTGCAGGCAGGAGCCAGGAACTCGGCATGGGAGTGACTGCACTGGTCCAGACCCTGACGAGGCTGGACCAGGTGGAGGTGTGGATGAGAGAAGTGGGTGCATCCTGGATAGACTTGAAGTTGAGGATGGGGTGGGGATGGAATAGCCACTGATGGCTAAGCAGGTTCAGGCGCAAGTCAGCAGTCTATTTCCCAGCATCTGGAAATTGTGATGCCGCTAGACACCCAGGTGGAGACCAGGTTGCGGGGGGCGGGGGGGCTAGAGCTTGGGAGACATCCCCGCCCTGGTGGGATGGATTGGAGAGAGGGTGGAAGGAAAGAAACCAGGAGTGGGTGGCAAACCAGAAGCCAAGGGAGCAAGGGCTTCAAAGTGGAAGATGAGATCAGTCTCTGAATCCCCTGCTTGAATAATTTCTCCCCATGGCAGGGGTCTTACTCCCTTATTTGGTTGCCGTTCCTTCCCCAATGCCCAAGCCATTCAGACTGGGCTTCTTTTTGCTATCCGTGAATCGGCCCCTCAGACCCAGCCTGGCTCTGACCAGATTGACACAGAGGAGGCCTTTCTCCTCCATCAATCTGGCCTTTGTACCTTTGTTAATATGATCCTGTCGCACCAGTTCTCCACACTGAACCAGCAGGATCTCACCTCTCTCCCCGCTTCCTCCTAGGCTCCCCAAACCATATTTTGCTTCAGGGCCCCATGACTGTATCCAAGGAGGGGTCAGGCCCCTGCCAGCGACCCCCTGAGGATCCCCCCCACTACCCTGTGCTTGGCCCCAGCTCCCTCCCACCCTGTCATTGATTCATTCAGCACGTACTTCTGAAGCACCTGTGCTGGGAGGCACTGGGAACTAGCAGTGAACAAAATGAAGCTTCCCTGCCGCCCCCCCCCCACCCACACCTCATGGATGGAGCTGACGTTCTGGGAGGGGGGCAGCCGGGAGAGGGAAGAAACCTGAAGGATGAGAAGGAGCCAGCCAGGTGGACATCTGGAGGAAGAGCATTTCAGGCAGAGGGACTATCATGTGCAAAGGTCCTGAGGCACGACCTGGCCTGGTATGTTGGAGGTATAGCTGAGAGGCCACTGTGGCTGGAGCAGAGTGAGCCATGGGGAGAGTGAGGAGAGGGGCAGATGAAGAGACTGAGGGTCCTCAGGGCCCCTCAATCCAACAGTTGCAGACCCTGGTTGGGCCCTTGCTTGAGGGATGCAAGGTTGTTGGGCCCCACTGCTGTGCGGTTTGCAGGGGTGTTGCTTTGGTGTGTTGTCCCCTGTGTGGAGTGGTCAGTGCACCCTGAAGGCGGAGGAGGCTGGCAGGAGGAAGGAAGAGGAGGCCAGCCCTTTCCTGGTGGGCAAAGCTTCTCCCCTTCCTCCTGCACGTGGCGGGGGGCTCAGGTGACCTGGGAGAATCCCTGGAGGGGCTGGAGGGAATGGAAGGAAGTAGCCAGGGAGAGGGTGCTGATGGAGACAGAGAAGGGGGCCAGGGAGGCGGAGGAGGTGCAGAGCCCAGAGCTGGGTGTTGGGGCAGGATGTTCTCAGGGAGGTGACCGGAGATGGTAGGCAGGGGCCTGGCTGGGCCTTGAAGATGAGCAGCAGAAACCAGAGCAGGTGTGTTTTGAGGATGGCCCCCTCCACCAGCCTGCTGTCACTCCCCTTCCAGGTGTAGGAGAAAAGACTCAGCATCCCTCCTCATCCCACCCCCCACCCCCATGGACAAGGACCTGGTCACCTGGGCCTGCTCACCCTTCCCACCCACCCCCCCTCATCCAGGTATGCACCAAACCCCTCCAGTTTCAAAGGCTTTACAGAGGGAATTCGGACACTTGGGTGCCGGCACATAGGTCAGTGGTTCTGTGGAGCCCAGACACTGTGGCCTGGACCGTTCCCCGACCCCCTCCAAATTGGGGATGGGTGCACCTAAGGGCACCTCCCTTTTGGCCCTGGCTCAGCATTTTTTTTTTTTTTTTTTTTTAGGCTGCGCTGCCCACAGCATGCGGGATCTTAGTTCCCCAACCAGGGATCAAACCCGTGCCCCCTGCTTTGGGAGCGCCGAGTCTTAACCACTGGACTCGCCAGGGAAGTCCTCTTGGCTCAGCTTTGACCGTGATCCTGGCAGGAGTGATGGGGCCACAGCTGGATCAAGGCTAACCTATCGGGAGATGGCAGGGGACAAGGGCAGTGACAGGAGGGGAGAGCAAGCAGGACGAGCTCTGGAAACGTCAGCCTCTGGGTGTCATTTCTCCATCTGAGCTGTTGGCTAGGGCAGGTCTAAATATAAGGTTGTCACCTCCCTGCCCTCACCTCTCTTCACTCCCCGCTCTGTTCCAGCCCCAGGGGCCTCGTCTTCTATGCCTTGAATCAACCAGTCTTGGTCCTGCCTCAGGGCCTTTGCACAGGCTGTTCCCGCTTCTTAGAATGCTCTGTCCCCACGGCCTCCTCCCTCATCTCTCTTTTTTTTTAAAAAATAAATAAATTTATTTATTTATTTTTGGTTGCTTGGGTCTTTGTTGCTGCGCGCAGGCTTTCTCTAGTTGCGGCGAGCAGGGGCTACTCTTTGTTGCCGTGCGTGGGCTTCTTCTTGCGGTGGCTTCTCTTGTTGTGGAGCACGGGCTCTAAGCGCACGGGCTTCAGTAGCTGTGGCACACGGGCTCAGTAGTTGTGGCTCGCGGGCTTAGTTGCTCCGTGGCATGTGGGATC